ATATATATATATATATATATAACAAATAACAATATGATGGTATATAGATATATATATATATATATATATGTATATATATATAATATATATGTATATATATACACTCATATTGTTATTTTATATATATATATATATATATATACATATATACTATATACATATATATATATATATTATATACATATATATATATATATATAGATATATATATATATATATATATATATATATATATATATATATGTATATATACACTCATATTGTTATATATATATATATATATATATATATATATATATATATATATATATATATATGTATATATATATATATATATATATATATATATATATATATATATATATATACATTATATATATATATATATATATATATATATATATATATATATATATATATATATTTATATATATGTATATATATATGTATATATATATATATATATATATATATATATATATATATATATATATATATATATATATATATATACCCACGGGTAATAATATAATTTATGTATAATTTTTTCATCATTTTAAGACCCCAAAAGTGGAAATGAATTCGCAACATCTAAAAAGGTTATTATTTTTTTATTGATAAAAATATGTTTTATATTGTTATGTATAAGACATTTTTTTTCTTCATATATTTTTTTCTTTGTCTAAAAATATATAGGATTGTTAATGTTGTATAAAGTTTTTCTATAGGTTTGAATCTCTGTAGACAAAGGTATGTATTTATACATGCATTTAGTTATGGTAGCAGCAATGTAGTTCTGGTAGCAGCAATGCAGATATGGTAGCAGCAATAGGAGTGGCTTTCATACTTTAACTTTGTATCATTTTGAGTACTGAATTATTTATCTGAATTTTGATTTATTGGCTATCCATAATATTTAAAATCCTATAAAATTTATATGAAGAGTTTGTTCAAATTGCTTGATTTTGTATTTGTTCAAATTATGTTACATCAATCATGTTGGACTTAAGTTAAAATATTTTCAATAAAGTCTGGTTTTTTTCAGATTTAGAAACAGCAAGAAAACAACAGAAACATAATATATTTATGTAGAGCTAATACATTTGGATTTAGATTGGTGTACAATATAAGCAACATATGACACAGACAATTGTAAAACTGATGATTATTTATTTTATTTAGCAATAAGATCTGTTTTATAAGGATGTTTATTTCTATTTCAAAATATCTTTCTGCTGATGACATTTTAGCTTTCAAATAGCTATTTGAATTATTGTGAAAGATTTTGCAAAGTTGAGGAATAGTGTGTCGGTTAAAATCCATGGTTTTCGGAACATTTACATTAATTTTTGTTTAAAAAACAATGCCAACATGTCTCAAATGTTTATTGAATTCATCTGCAGAAAAATGTTTTCATATTTTTTCATTTATGTATACATGAATGTCAAAGAGGTGTATCAATAATGACTTTTGTCGTATATTTTACTTTTTTTGAAGTGAGGATTGATTTATGCAAAAGAGCTTTCAAGAAATAGCCTCGGACACATTTACTTCCAACAATGCTGCAAGCAGCCACTATTTAGGTTGGGAACTAAAAGCAAATAATTAAAAATCAATAAAATGATAATAAGCTTAATAAACTGATTTTAAGATAAAGATGGAAGAAAATTCTCAATTAATGAAAATTTAGGTCATACTAGACCAAGTCTAGTTCAAGCTTGACTAAGTGTAATTCAAACTAGACCAAGTCTAGTATGAGCTTGACTAAGTCTAGTTCAAGCTTATCAAGCCTAATTGCATGAACAATATATAACAATATGTTTTTAAAGCTCATCTTGAAAAAAAAAAAACACCAAAAGCTCTTGAAACTCTCTTAATGTCAAGAGCAATAGCCCTTGCTTTATTGTTTCCATCTAATGTACAATAGTATTTTTTGGTTATAATTGTTTAGAAAACAAAAGTCAAGGAATGAAGTTAAGTGAATAGAATTATCTGGAAATCCCATTGTTAGCTAAACTTATCACAAAGTTAAATTAGTAAAAGATTGAGAAAAACCAACAAATTTAAGCTTTAACATTAGCAAAATGAGAATAGAGCCAGGCCAATCAGTGTGTTGTGCATGAAAATAAGTAATAATAATCAGTAATAAAAATAATAGTCGGTGAATAAAGAGAAAAGGTTCAATTTGATCAAATATAACATTAAGTAAATTGCAGCCTTGAGTAGATGGTTAATAAGATGATAATAATTTCTTGAGGAGATAGTGAACTACAATAAATAAATACAATAAATAAAGAGGTTGGCTTAAGTGGTGTTATATAAAAGCACATAATAAAACAGTCAGAGAATTCAAACCTGATTTACGAGAGACAGAGTTGATTTTAAGCATGTTACTGATGTTGTCTTTTTTAATTAAAGGATAATAGCCATTAAGACTGAAATGCAAAAAAGTTTAAAATAGTTTTACACTGTTTTTGAATTTTTTTTAACTGATTAGTTTTTATGATTACATTAAGTTATTTGGATATCAGTACAACCCCTAAACATTATGTTATAAAATAGAATATTTGTTATGTTCCACTCCACTAAATCATTAAAATTTAATATGTCTTAGAGATACAATGTAAACATACAAGAAGTTATTTTATGGCTGGAAAAATAAAAAAGTGTTTATAACGGAATCTTTCAAAGCCAGAGTTTTGGTTGATCTCTCAAACAGCCTAGCTGTCTGTAGCAAGTAAACATAAATATAGGCTGCCTGTAGCAAGTACACGTAAATAGTGACTGCTTGTAGCAAGTACACATAAATAATGGTTGTCTGTAGCAAGTATTCATAAATAGTGGTTGTCTATAACAAGTGAAAGTAAATAGTTGTTGCCTGTAGAAAGTAAATAGTGGTTATCTGTAGAAATTGAAAGTATATAGTGGTTACTTGTAGCATTTCTGTGTATATTTTTGATCTTCTTTAATTTTTACTGTAGTAAAAAGTGGTCACTTGTAGCATACAAAAGTGGTCACTTGTAGCATACAAAAGTGATCACTTGTAGCAAACAAAAGTTTTTTTTTTTTTTTTTTTTTTTTTTTTTTTTTTTTTTTATATCAGTGATGTTTTTATGTTTATTTATTTGTTACAATTATTGCAAATTTATTTGTTACAATTATGGCAAATAACTTATTACACAGGGACTAAAAAGATTCAGTATGTGTTTTTTTCCGTGTTATCATATTTATTTGTATATATTTAATTTCTTTATATTATTTGTATATGTTTATATATAACTTTTTATATGTATTTTATATATAATGGATATATAATTTACTAATGATTGAATTATGATTACTAATGAACTATGATTGAATTATGATTACTAATGAACTAATAAAAAGTGGTCACTTGTAGCATACAAAAGTGGTCACTTGTAGCATACAAAAGTGGTCACTTGTAGCATACAAAAGTGGTCACTTGTAGCATACAAAAGTGAATAATAATTGCTTGTAGAAAGTGAAAATGAATTATTAAAGGTGGAAATGAGAATAAATTGTCTAAAAGTGAAAATAAATTATTAAAGGTGAAAATGAAAATAAATTGTCTAAAAGTGAAAATAAATTATTAAAAGAAATGTTTGCAAGTTTAATTAAAAAGCAAGAGATTGTTAAAAAATTGATTTTAAAATTGATTTAAAAATTGATTTTTTCAAAACGTATTTTATTAAATTTTGTCATAAATATATAACTTTGTATTGTTTGTAAATATATTTTTTTTTTTTTGCTTCTTTTTTTTAAATATTAGTTTTACTATTAAAAAAAAGTAATCTTTTTAATTTTTATTAAAATTTTAAATTTTAAATCTTTTTAATTTTTATTTTTGTTAAAGATTAACGAAGGATCATTAAAATTATTACAATCTTTGGAAGTTTACTTGAAAGCTTTGCAATACTTTATTGCAGAAAATGAAGATCCAATAATGGGTGACACACCTGGGTTTCGTTTTTTTGTAAAAAAAGTTTATGGAAATACTGAAGAAAGTACTTCAACAAGTTCAACACAAGTGTATGAACAATCAGGGTTTACACTTCCCAGTCTTAGTAGTTTTTTAAATGAATCTATCAAGTACTCTAGCGTTGTTGTTAATGTAGGTTATTGTTAGAAATTTATTGTTATATTTATATTTTCCTTTGTTGTTATATTTTCCTTTGTTTGTCTTACACCCTGTAAATTTAACACCCACTACAACACCCTGTGAATTTTACAGTTTTTTAATGTAAAATTTTGAAGTTCCAACATTTTTTTTGATGGTTAAATTTTGTATGGGTCCATGAGTCATTCTTGTTAGGTAACTTTTAGTTCAAGGTGAAGTTACTACTAAAAAGTTATTTTCATTTGTTTAAAACTATTTTCAGTGATTTTAGCTTTATTTTTACTTTCATAGTAAACAAAACAGATTTTTATATATAAAATATTAGTACATATGCTTTTATAAAATCATTTTGTCACTTAGTATGTTACAAGTGCTTCCTTTTGTAGTCAACAACTACATACAACTATGAAACTACATATATGGGAAATAATTACAACCTTTTTATTATAGAACCATTTTACGTATCTATTCCTATGTGGTACATGGATATACATCTAATATTTCTTTAATATCATTTATTACTACTACTATTTTTAGTTAATCTGTGAAAATTTGTCATAACAATGTCAAATGAAATTTGTTATGACTAATGTCATGACAATAAAATACTAGTTATATTTTTTTAATAATAATTGTTGTTAAATTAATTAATTCCTAAATTTATTTTTAAAATAAAGTAATTAGCCTTTAATTTAAAAAATAAGTTCTTATGAACATTTAATTTTTTTAATTTTTACAAGTTTACTCTAAGGTTGCAATTTTTTTAACTTTTACGGTTTATTTTATGGTTGCAGACTCTTGTAAACTATATTGGGAAAAAAAAAAAGTCTTTAACGATGCTTGTTAATGAGACAGGTTGATGTCTTCTTGTTCTGGCTTATACTTTTGTGTTTATTTTTTTTTATAGTTTTATGGTTAATTTTGTTAAAACATTAATAACAAAAAGTTAAATAAATATAGTAAATGGTGTTTAGGTCATTATATACTTTGCAAAAAAAATTTGAGATTTGAACCTTCTCAGGATTTCAATTTAACAATGGAAAGCTAAATGTACCTCCCCATAAACCCAAATGTACCTCCCCATAAACCCAAATGTACCTCCCCATAAACCCAAATGTACCTCCCCATAAACCTTCCAATTATGAGAAACATTCCATTGTATATCATCTGTGACTAAAAAAAGAATTTTGTATCTTTCATGAGTGAGTTTGAGCAATTAATTTGACAAAAAAAGTAAAAACAAATTTAAAAAAAAAATAGTTTCAATTTTTAACCAATAGTTATTCAACTTTCAAAACTATATAACTGACTTTAATAATAATAAAATTTTTATATTTTTTATATTACAATTACTTTTTACAATTTATTTTCTGCATTTTTTAAAGAATACTTTGGTTGTTAGAAATATTTTTAGAACTTTTTCTTTAATTTTAAAACAGAATACAATTAAATATTTATATATCACCTTAAACTGTATTTAATTATGAACATTTTAAGTACTTATTGAAATTTTTTGGTTGTGTATTAAAAATGTTGCTCAATTTTTATTTTAAAACACATTTAAAAGAAAAATTTTAAAACGCATAACTTGAATAATGAGCATATATTTATATTCACGCTTTACTCAGAGTTCAAGCACATGCCACGATGAATTGGTATTAGTTCATGGTGACTAAGCACCAAAATATAGTATTGTTGCAAGTATATAAAATGTAGTGGGTTGTTTTATTTCAAGATGTTAAAGAGAGTCAAAAACATACCATTATTTAAGAAAACCCTCATGCAACACATGATATATATATATTTTTTTAATTCACCTCCTCAAGGCCAATAAGGCCACTGCAGACAAGGAGGCTACTTATATAATATAAATTATTCACAATCCTTTTAAAAAAAAGAAAACTATAATCATGTTGGATACCTTATGATTTAACCAATCAAAATCACAAAAATAGAGTTTTAACCCTATTTTAAAATGGCCTATGGAGACTATTTTATGTTATTACACAAAATAGTTTCCATTAATCAATGTTATCAATGCTAGATGGGTTATCAATGCTAGATGGGTCAGTCAAAGTCTAAAATCTATAGTAAGATGCAACAGGTTTGAGCCAAAAAATATGATGCACATTTTCTTCAAAACAACAAGTGTTGTTCATTTGGGTTATGTTAAATAGGGAGACACGAATATTAGTTAACATTAATGAAGAAAATGTTTTAAACCAAAATAAATAAGCAAAGACTGTTAAAGACAACTCAATTTTTTTTTTTAAACACCTTCACTTCCAACAAGGCTGCAAGCAACCACTAATTAGTGTTGGAAGAAACTGGAAGAGAAAAGATGAAGACTGTAGAGCAAGATAACGATTGACAAACAACTTAAAAGATTGCAAATTATATGAATGAGGAAAGCAAGATAAAGAAAGCGAATTCCAAAGAACTGATGTTCAAGGAAAATAAGTAGACAAATAAGAGTTTTTGGAACACTTAGAAACAGTAACAGAAAACTGATGAGACTTAATTGAATGATGAGTAACATTAGAATGAATTTTAGTAGATAGCACAAGAGACGCTAGCTCTTTTAGCAGTGTCCATTATAGTATTGGTAGAAAAAAGAAAGAGAAGCAACATTATGACAATGTGATAATGGTTGAAGGTCGACTGCAAGAGCAGGTCCAACTATGTTTACAATGCGTTTTTGCACTATGTCTAAAAGAAAAAGGACATCATTAGAAGATCTGCCCTGCAATAATTTGAATAAGAAGAAGAGTGCTGTCCATCGAGGACAACTTTTATACTACGAATGGAAAGGAAGGGTTCAATAATCTTGAAGATGTTTCCAGATACACCATAAGAAGAAAGCTTATGGAGAAGACCAGCATGCCAAACTTTATCAAAAGCTTTAGAAATGTCAAGAGCGATGGCTTTAACATCTCCACTTTTATCTAATGGGCATTAAAACCTGTCAGTTATTTCTGTTAGCAAATCATCCTTAGAAGAAGAAGATCGAAATCCATATTGATGATCAGAAAGTAAGTTATTAGATTCAAGATGAAAGATTAAGTGTTTGTTAAAGATTTAAAAACCTTGCTTATGATAGGAAGAAGACTAATAGGACGGTAGTTAAATGAATCAGATCGCTCTCCAGAATTTTTAAAAATAGGGATAACAGATGCTGCTTTCCATCAGGCTGGAAAACTAGACTCTGATAAGCACTTGTTGAGTAGTTTTGAAAGGATAGACAACAGCTTCGGAAACCATGGAGAAGAGTATTGCTTGACCTGGAATTGTTGGGAGGGAATAAAGGATTCCATGCCAGCCTGAATCCACGAAGTTATGTAAGAAGCACATTTGTTAACAGGAAGATGAAAGATTTCTACCCAAGAGCCATCACAAAAAAAATCACAGAAAGAGTCCCAGTCAGCTTTAAGGTAGTTGTAAGATGTTTGATGATTAGAGGATTCTGAAGATAAAGTAGAATGAGATAATAGTTTTAGAGAGATCAAACTGTGATCAGTGGCACCTAAGGGTGAATGTGGAGAAACTAAGCACTAACTAGGATCAGAAACAAGACATAAGTCATGTAGAGAATTCGGGTTGTCTGAAAAGCGATTTGGAAAGTTGACTATTTGAGTTATGGATTGAGAAAGGCAAAATTTGTGGGATTTAATGCTTGCAGAGTTGCTGATATTAGAGCCAAGCCGTTCAGTGTGATGAACATTAAAGTCACCGATAACAACAATATTGGCTGATGGATAAAGAATTATATAGATAAAAAATTGACTACTAAACATTCAAAATTTTAAACTTTTTAATAATGCTTGACCTTATTTTACTTAAACTGTCACAACCAAGCAGGAATTATGATTGTTGTTATTTTATTTTTGTTGTCGTTGGTGTTGTTATTTTGTTGTTGTTGTCATTGTTTTTGTTGTTGTTGTTGTTTTTGTTGTTCTTATTGTTTTTGCTAATGTTTTTTTTCCTTAAAGAGTCAGGTTGATATAAATTTTAAAAGGTTTCTTTTTTTTTCTTTCAATAATACTCAGTTAAAATATTGATATATAATTATATATGCAATCCAATAGTGTAATACAAAATTTTAAACTTTGATTACTTTTGCTTTTATTTATATTTAGAACATTAATATGAAGAACCAATTATTCACATGGGACTTAGAACGTTCAAAAAATATTGTATCGGAATCTCAAATAATTTATTTGAGCATGACAACTGGACAAAAAATTGAAGTGAAGAACTTATCATCAACTGTAAATATATCTATAAAAAACGTTCCAGAAAAAATAAAAGGTCAAAATGTTTCATTATTGATACCAAATGATGTTCAATTGGCTCTACTTGAGTTACAATCTGTGGAATGCAAGTTTCTGCTTAAAATTAATCCGTTAAATGACCCACAAAACAGGACTAATTTGATTGTTTACATCCAATATGGGAAAGTTCCAACAACAAGTGATTATGATATTAAACTAAACATTTCAAATAGAGATGGCACAGTTCTCACTTTGGGAAACAACAGTCCAAGTGCAAATCATTCTCTAAATATTCAAAGAAATCAAAAATGCAGACTTATGGATGATGGATCAGTTATAATGTGGGATTTTATTAACTCAACGTATTATTTTTTAAATAGAACAATTCTTTACTTAACATACTTTTATAATGGTCCGATGCCAGATAAAATATTTGAGATAAACCCATATACATTTGATAAAAAGGAATTTATAGGGGCATTTTATTATGAAATAAAATCTTTTTGTGTCGAATGCAACTATTGGAACGAAAAATTTAATAAGTGGATGTCAGATGGATGCGAGGTTTGTCTGTTTTGAAAAGTTTTTATTAATGAGATATGCAAAGTAAATCTGGTTTTCCAAGCCTGCATATGGGCTCGAATTAACGCAAAAAAATTTAATTGCAAATTAAATTTTTTTTTTTTTTAAATTCCTCTTTCTTTGCCTGATGTAATGCAGTAAAGGAGGTTGCATTATTACAAACTTTAAACAAAATGAATTAAATAATATTTTATAATATTTCCATTTGGCAGGGTTTAAAATAACAGTAACAGTTATTTATTTGCAGCTTAAGTTATAATTTAAAACTTAAGTTGCAGTTATAATGTGCTAGAAATTTATTTATTACTATTACGATATTACTTTTAGTAACTTAGTTTTGAAACTTGTTAAATTTTAATTTTAAACTTCAAGAAACAAAAAATATTTAACTATTAAAAATGTTAAATAAAACCGTTTTCCTTACTAGCACTACTTTCCAAGATCTTTGCTATGCCACTGGGTATTACAGATGTTGCTGCAGTTTACATTCAAATAAGTTTATAATTAGTGTAAATGATCATTAAAAATTTGCAAAATTTTTTTAAATTTTAAAAAAAGAATTACTATTTTAACTTTGCTGGTTGTTTTGATTTATTTTGTAGGTAAACTTGCTGATGTACTTAAATTTAACTTTAAAATAGAAGAATAATATTAATTTTAACTTTAAAATAGAAGAAGAATATTATTTGTTTCCATTCAAAGATTGGTCATTTTCAAAGATTTAAAGTAATTAAAATTCAATAGCACTTTATGCTAAATGAAAATCACTGTGCTGGAGAGCAAATGATCAAACTTTTATTTGAAAGTTAAATGAAAATCACTGTGCTGGAGAGCAAATAATCATACTTCTATTTGAAAGTTAAAGGAAAATCACTGTGCTGGAGAGCAAATAATCATACTTCTATTTGAAAGTTAAAGGAAAATCACTGTGCTGGAGAGCAAATAATCATACTTCTATTTGAAAGTTAAATTAATTGTGATGCACTTTATGGATGACCCATAATAAAAGTCTCAAACAAAAGCATTCTTAATTTTTTAGAATAGCCCAAAAAAATGCTAAACAAGAAAAGAAAAAAAATGTTGTAAAAATATTTTTTTAAAGAAATAAAATATTTTTTTTAATTTTACAAATTGTAAAAATATTAAAAAAAAAAAAAAACTAATAGTAAAGATGCAAAAAGCAGTTGCAATTTGCTATTGCAATACGCTTAATTCATGCTCTGGTGCAAGTTACGCCCATTAGTAATCAATGAGAAATCAAAATAACTATATAATTAATATTATATAGTTATTTTGATTTCTCATTGATTACTAATGAAATAAAATGGAAATAAAATATTAAATGAAATTTCCTTTCATAATAAAAGTTGCAAACCACAAGCACTAAACTTGTCTAGATAATCTGTATTTCCTTCCAAACAATTTGTCTGAATTTAAATAATAAACTTATACTAATATATAAATATATATTCTTGATATTTCTCTAAGATGAACCCAAGTTCTTGAGAATCAGATTTACTATGAATATACACAAAAAAAAGTTTGTTTTTATTTGTAAATATACTTTATTTGTCTATAATTTATATATTTTTATTTTAGGAGAGAGTGGAGAGAAGTGGGACAGGGAAGAGCGGAGGGAAGTGGGACCAAACAGGTTTTAGCAAATAAAGCATTATTATGGGCTTATAATTTTGGATTAAATCTTTTGAGATTGCCACCAAATTATAATTACATTTAAAATTTTAAAGGAACCATGTCATTGGTATAAATTGAAACAAAAGTAGGTAAAGTGGGTTGTGCAGGTAAAGACAAGCAAGCGGGAGAAGTTGGACATTTGGGAATATATTAATTTGATCAAACTCTTGATTTATAAGTTAGTTTAAAATTAAGTTTAGATTAAACAAAACAAAAAAAATCATCAAACCATAAGTATCAGTTCCATAAAACATATTTAGTAACAATGACTTACACTTTCTTTGTTAAAAAAAAGTTATCAACATTTAATGTGCCAAAGTTATAATGGAAAATGGCTCATTTATTGTTCTCAATGTTGTTCCAGAAAATAGTTGAAGCAGAATTTAAACTTTGTTTGCGAAAAGAATTTTATTTGTATTAAGTGCAATTATTTTGTATAGTTTATGTGTTAATTATTGAATTTAACTAAAAATCTGAATTAAAATTGTTTAGTTTAAATTGATTTTGGATAACTTCATACAAATTCAAAAAGAAATACATTATGATTTCCTTCTACTACTTCATGTTGCACACCTAAATCCTGAGATATCTGAAAAAGTAGCACTTATATTAGATTTTACACCTGCTGCAGAGACAATGCAGCACCTTGTTACTAGTCCACCTTTTTCTCTAGGTGTTATTTGCCCAATTTGCACCGTTCCTTTTTGCTAAACGACACAAAGAGTTTTCTGCATGGTAGTAAAGCCTGTCTCATCAAAATTTTAATGATGTTGTTTAAGACTTAAAGATACATTCTAGTAACTTGTTATAATTATCAATATCAATTGAATGCAAAAGCTCTTGCTAGTGAAGTTGTGCTAGTTTTCTAATAGATAGTTTTGGGTTTCTTTTCAAAAATCCTATTAATCAATTTTGACCAATCTTTTTTTTATTTTACCCAACTCAAGGAACATTTTATTTTGCTCTCTTGAGCCATTTCATTGAGCCAAAAGCTAAAGCTCTTGTAATATAAACTCTTGTAAGACTGTATAATAATGGAACACTATCTTTAGATAAGTACTCAGTATTTTTTCATGTGCCACAGGGAAAATCATAGAACGTTGGTAGTTTGGTTAAAGATTAGATATTGATTCTTTCTTTGATCTTTTTGATCAATTTTTTTAAGCATCTGTGAAGTGTAAGGTTTCTATGAAGTGCTAACCCTCTCTCTATTAGACAAGATCTAAAAATGCATTGTAAATTTAATGAAAAATAATATTTTCATAATTTTTTTTAATCCAAAAAGAGTGTTTTATATGTTTTTAAATTTTTATATCTATTATGAAATTCTTTTTTTTTTTAGGTTGATTTATTTACAAATACTTTTTCTATTACTCAATGCAATTGCAATCATTTGACTGCATTTGGTGGATTTTATGTTGCACCGAATAAGTTGCCCAAACCCACTTTGTTGTTATTAAAATCTGGTTATGTTCTGCTTATTGTTGTTTGCTCTGTTATTTTTTTGTGGCTTTCAGGGTTAGTGTGTGCAAGAAGAATTGATAAAAATGATATTAAAAAAGTAAATATTTGTTATTTGTAGTAAATTTATAAGATATATCTAATGATAAAATGCAAATCTATGCATTTTTAAAAAAGTAATAGGGTAAAATCTTTAATCAATTTATTTTATTTTTTTTCATTAAGGTGTCCCTTATATGACTGAAATTTTTTTTTGGATATTGAAATGCATACCCCCTATTTCTTTCTAAACTAGACTTACTTCTAGACTTACTTAAATACATAACTTTAGCTTTGTACGACAGCATTAACGCAACAGAACTCTGAAGTATTTAAAAAATGCTGTTTTTAATCTTTGCCGTTATGTAGCTAAATAAACTAAAACACTTATATTTTATGAAATATTTATTAAAAGAATATAAAATTACAAATCAAGCAATATATTTTCCATTAATGACCAAATAACATAACAAAATTTAGATATGAGATACAGCTAAAATACATCACAAATATAAATTTTTTTAACGATAAGTTACGTCTCAGTGTACATTTTTTAAAAGTTGCACTTTTGTTGAAGTAACCAATATAATAGACTTACTTAAATACAAAATTTTATCTTTGTACAGCAATATTAATGCATGCCAACAGAGCTCTGAGGATTTTGAAAATTGCTGTTTTTAACACTTCCGTTATGAAGCTAAATCAATTGAAACACTTTACAGTCTGGATACAGATTTCTATGCTCTTGCACATAGCTTACATAAAAATTGCTTTTGTTCTTTCTTTGCAGTCATTAAATTATGAAATTCTTCAATAAGTTTTACTGCTCATTTAGTTGCATTATTAACTGCACTTGAGCAAAGAATTTTTCTTTTTGACTCTATATAGGTAAAATCTTTATCCCACATTGAAATAAGTCTCTGGAGGAAGTTTTCATTAATTTTTAATTGAGAAAATAAATTTGTGCTCTTGACATACACAAAATCAAAGTGCTCATTTATCCTTGGCACTAATTTTGATCTGGGATTGCAAAAAACATATCTTTAAAGAGTAATAGCCCTAGACATCCACCTTGCTTGATGCATTACTCCAGGAGTTCTGATTTTAATTTTTTTCTCATTATTGTCTCCTATAAAAAAATAGATAGTTCAATCAGTTCTAGATAATCACCATGTAAAATAGTATTTTGCAGTTCTTAATTATAAAATGTCAACAATTTTTCAAATGTTGTATTACTAAAATGCTATTTGATGATATCAGTATATGTTTTAATAGTCAGATTAATAGATTAATAGTGCTTAAGTTTTTTCTTTTTGTTGTAGTTTCAGAACTTACCAATTGAGATATTGGTAGTTAGGATTCCTCAAGACTTTTATTGGTGCTGGTATGTTGATTGTGATGTTCTCGTGTTTGTATAAAGTCTTGTGTAATGAGAGATAAGGATTAACTTCTGAAACAAATTTGCTAATGTCTTTTTTTTTTCTCTTTTAATTTTCTGTCTTGCCCTTTTTTCTTTTTCATCTAATTTTTTGTCTATAAAAAATTAGCAGAAAGAAGCTAATTATCCTAGAGATCATGGTTCTCTTAATTTTTTTTTTATCCATTTCCAAAGCATCAGCATGTGCTATATCAAATAAATTATCTAAATTGTTTCCTCATCATGGTGCTTGTAAACATTGTTTTTTTTTTTTGAATTTTTTTGCAACTCTCTCCAAGCATGATAAAGATCTACAAGTTTTTTACACAATTAGTTATAGCTCTGGCAGTGATTCTAGCTCTTTCCTAAAATACAATGCATTCTTTAATGGCGAGATTTGCATCTTCACTATTTTTTTATTGTTTCTTATTTTCACTGCCATTTCCTAAAAATACAACAACACTAATAATTATATATATGAATCTGTATTTACATTTAAATAATTTAGAAGCACAATAGCACTTTTATTTATTATTCTTATAGAAGTACATTTAGGTAATATCTTCAAACATAACGTCCTATTAGAAATGTGCTTCCACTACTGAAAAAACAAGTTGATCTGGATGAACAATCTTGTACATTTTTATGATTTACATTCTATTAGAAGAACACCACTGAAAGATAACAGCAGGGTACTACTCAAAATTCAAGTTGTTGGTCACTATCTGTTTCTGGGAGAATCCATTAAAAGAGGACAAGAACATATAAATCAAATTGAGAAAAAAGTAACAAGTTTATGACAAAAGAAATTAAATTTACCGCATTTGTTATTTCAAGTCATACAGGCAAAACTGGATCATGTGCTAAAGACATACAATAAATGTGTAAAAGAAAAAAAGTATGATCCATTGAATGAAGTTTTAGATATCACAAAAAAAGATGGTGAATGACTCTGCAGTGACAACAAAAGATTGTATCATCTTCAGGTTGAAAGCGAAGGACAGGTTGGGTATACTGCTGGGAAGACTGCTAGTTTAAAAAATTAATCATTTCATTCAAAAGAACAAAAGCAACCTTGTAATTTACTTCAACAACAGTAACAGTACCAGCAACAACATCAACTTTTTAGACAACATCAACAATTTAGAGTCTAAAGATTTAGAAGTACAGTCCACAGGAACCAGCAATAAGTACAGCAAAACCAAAACTGCAACCAAATTAGTAATATCTTTATTAGTTGTTGAATTAGTTATCAACTAGTTAAAAGTATGACAGCTATTTTTGATGAATAAAGTTTATGGAAGAGTATGAAGAAGAGGCTCACAACTTAACATTAATAGATTTATAGCTTACAGATGGGTGGACCATTGGTTTACTGACATGGTTTAAGAGCAATACTGAACAAGCAATCAAGTATCTCCAAGATCTTTTTAACATCTGTAAAAGAAAGAAAACCTCCAGCATTTATTTGTAATTTAGAGTGTTATGATGTCACAATTAAATGTTAAATGCTTGTAAAATAAATAACTACTGACCAATTAAAAAAAAAGGAAAGGAAGAGGTTAGCAATTTTGTGATAATTTGTTACAGAGACGAGGGTAGGAGTATTCAGTTTTGTGATGCAATATTTGTTTTTTTTAAGTTTAAAATCTATAAAATCTTTTCTATTGATTAAAAAAGTTTAAAACACTCTGAAAAAAAACAACAACAACAACTCAAAAACACTGTTCTGACTGCAGCTATTCCAACTTAACACAAATTGAAATATTAGATTAACATAATTTTTATTGGAGTTGACATTTTATAAATCAACTTAGCATCTACAGCTTTTTGAGTCAATGATATAGTTGATATATCATTAATGAAAAATTGATTAATAATAATATAACTATTAAATGAAAATAATATAATAATTATTAAACAACAATAATAATTAATACGCATTAACATAAAATATTATAATGTTAATATAACCTGCACCACAACACTTATTGCTAAAGAAGTAAATGATAAATATATCATTTAAAATTATCAAAAATTAAATCTTCAGAGACTATTTGTCTGTTTAGTCACTGTTAATTTATACAACTTTATATCGAACAGAGTGAAAAGAAGAATATGTGTGCATTCTACTTCCTCCATACCTATTCAAGTCAGTTGATGTATGTAGCTACACTGCAACTAGGGCCATAACAGTCAATTTATGTACGTATTGAATATTCTTATTGTGTGAAATTAAAAAAAATATAAATGATAAATAGAAATAGTTATAGTTTAACAACAATAATAGTTAAAACATATAAGAGAACTTTCAAACACATCAAAACACAATATACAAAAATTTTGTTCTCTTAAAATCCAAAAATTTTGCACCCTTATAGAGAGTGTTAACCTCAACCCTCATTATCCTCATAATACACAGATTTGATCATCCACGCTCTGCCCTAACATATTGAGAGAGCAAAACACTAAATTTTTTATATTAGTATTTTCAGGCTGAAAAAAAAAGTTTTCCAAAAAAATGTCATGTTGGGTATCAAACGAAGCAAAAATATATAAAATCTCAAAAATAGTCTTTATTTTATAAAAAAATTATAATCAAAAAAATTTGAATTCCCTTATTTCGTTTTTAATTTAAAAAATGTAATTTTTTGTTTACTAAAATCTAAAATAATGATTTTCTTACAAAATGGTTCATATTTTTGAAAATGTTTTGTAATCTCACTTCATTTGAGACCCAACATAACATACTTTTAAAAAAAAAAATTTTTTTTTTGATAACATTAAAAACTTATTTAATGTTTGAGTTGTTTTTAAAATCACCCTAATATATATATATATATATATATATATATATATATATATATATATATATATATATATATATATATATATATATATATATATACATATATACATATATATATATATATATATATATATATATATATATATATATATATATATATATATATATATATATATACATATACATATACATATACATATACATATATATATATATATATATATATATATATATATATATATATATATATATATATATATATATATATATATATATATATATATATATATATATATATATATATATATATATATACATACATACATACATACACACATATATAGAGTAATATATATGTATATGTATATTTATATATATATTTTTTAATATACAATTATGTGTATATATATTTATATGTTTATACATATTTATATATTTAGTTATCTACTTTATTTTTTTTCTAAAGGTTGGAGTTTGTCCACTTGTTGACAATTGTGACACTGATTGTTATTTATACCAAATTACTGTTGTTACAGGTAGTCGAAAAAATGCTGGAACAAAATCAAATATTTTTTTTACAATAGCTGGTAAGTTTTTCATTATTATTATTTGTAGTAATTGTAATAATATTGCTCACTTTTTAAATTGTGTTTTTTCAGAGCTAATATACATGTTAGTCTTGAACCAAAAGGTTTGTTGAAATTCTATTCCATAAGTTTCCCTTGATGATGTTTTATAATTGGTTTTCTACTCTGGACTAAATAAATTTAAACTAATATTGCAATTAATTATATTTCCTAATTTTTTCTTTTTTTATTTTGTCAAGAAACTGTAAATAAATGTTATTCATTATGTGGGCTTAATGAATAAATAATAAAATTTAGTAGATTGCTACAGTTAATAACACTGCATTATTATTGAAATAAAAATTGTTACTGTCAAAACCTCGAAGTAATTTTTTAATAATTTCTGCAGTGAATCATAATATTAAACGTTTTTATTTTTATTATTTTTAAAAAAGTAAAAATAAAAACTTTATTAAAAAAAGTCAGTTTTTAAATTAAAAATATTGAAAACTAGCTACCAAAACTAAAATTTTACATTAATTATATAGTTGAGCTACCCCAAAATATTATTTTATTAATTTCTATTTCTTAATGATTAGTTCTTAGTACTTTGATACACCATTTTTGAGTCTGCAACTTGGAAAAAAAATTTATGCTCAACTTCCATAAGCTGGGCCTTTGTTTACAAAAACAAGTTAAGTGTGTTACTGGGTTGTGATGACATTTAAACTTTGTATCTCTAGCTTATGATTTATATGTTCTACCACTTGCACATATCATAAAACACTTGCACAAATCATATACTTTGGTTTATGTTTACTAACAATAGCTTTTGCATAAACAATAATAATATTTATGAAATTATAAACATTAATGTAATTCTCCAGTCTAACAGTAATAAAAATTTTTTGCTTTTGTATTTATTTACTTATTAGGCTTTTTTAATTATGTTGGAGTAATTCTATTAAAATGCTGGAGAGGCATCATAACAGTTAAAGATAATATTAAGTTTACAGTCATTGAAAGAAGTGCAGAAATCAAACCTTTACTATATTTTTTGTAGTACAGGGCTCAACTTGTGTTTTTTTGCATCAGTTTTATTTGCCATGTTTGACAGGTGTTTAGTTTTAATATAAATTTTAATTTATAGGAGAATTAGGAGATTCAGGAGTTCGACGATTAAAAGATTCAAAAAGAGATTGTTTTCAAAGATCCAGTGTAGATGTTTTTATAATGACAACAACTAGCTGTTTTGGAGACTTGAACTATATGCGAGTTTGGCATGATAATACAGGTGGTGGGTGGTACTTAAGGTAATGTAGCTTATAGTATTATGACTTAATTTATCGATAAAAAAGTAAATATAATAAAATAATATTGTTAATAGTATTTTATAAAACCAAGTAAAATTATAATAGATAAGTTACAAATAAAGTCTGAACAAACATATAGAGTTTTATTAATTTTGAAAGAATCTGAGAAACAAAACTTTAACCATAAACATTAATTTTTTTATATATTTTATATGTTTTTATATTGTATTTTAAAAAGAATGTATGTTTTTGAACATATATATTGAAAGTTTATCAATAAATGTCCAAATTTAATTGCTGGATTAGAGGAAATAACACACAAATTATTGTTCCTCTATATAAATAATTAATTTTTTTTGAAATAATTTTTGATTTGTTGAGATTAAAAATAAAGCTCTAACTTAAATTTATCCTTAGTCACATTAGACATTTCAAATTTGATGTCGGCATGTTTCCATAGAAATTAATTTTAATTAACTAGTTATTGTTGTATTTCGTTTCTTAGTTACAAAAATTAAACAAAATTAAAAGTTGATAAGTTTTGTTTGCATGCAGCTGCTCAAGCTTTCTAAAGCTCATGTGATTCAAATATGCCCTAATGGTGAGCTGGTATTTTCTTAAAAATTTTGGTCTACCATGTTTTATCTCCAGCTCAATAAATTGCATTTAATTTTTTTTAATTTGAGTTTTTTAAAATTTATTATAATTTATTACTTTTAGTTTACTTTAAAAAGTATATACTTGTTTTATAGTAGTATATGTCTGTTTATTAATGTTTATATCAAATAAAGTTACAGAAATGATAAATCAAGCTAATTATCCCATTTTGATATTTATCTGGTAAGAAATATTTACACATACATTTAGCACATTTAATTCAACATAAAATTAGTTGTATAAAACCTTAAAAAATGTTACTGGGTTGTTTTCAAGTATGAGAGAAATTAAGGTGTCCTATAACTCAGCGCTCGAAATAATTATTTGAAGGTTGCCGATCAACACTGATTGGCAGAAATAATAAAAGTAATAAAGTAGACAATCAAAAAATTATCCAGACGATCAAATTTTTCTTAACTTTTTCTTTAATAGCGTACAGTTTAGGTGACGTCAAATTGTTTGTTTTACCGCTATCAACCTACAATAAATTGCGTTTTTAGAAAATTCTATTGATTTTGTGCAATTTTCTAAAATATCTTTACCTTTAACCTTTTAGTACTAAAAAAATCTATTTTTAGAACACTAGCTGAACGCTATTAGTTTTTGAATACAACAGCGTACGTCCGCGTTATCGTTTATAGTTTTTACTTTTAAACTTAGCTCTTAATTCACTTTTTCACTTCAACGCGTTGCCTTTTAAGTGACGTAAAAATATTTTTTGTGACTCGAACAATTGTTTTTTATATAATGATCGTTTTTTAACAAAAATGACACAATAAAAAGGTAATGAACTTTTTAACCAATATTTGATTATTAAAACTTTTTTAAACTAAAAAAAGGTGAGAAAAAATAATCTCGTTTTGCGCTATTCATTACTTGATTCGTTAGATGATGAATCCAAGTCGATTAATGTTTTTAATCCTGCTTTTTTTGCTCTTTTGGAATAGCATTTTCTTACTGATTGTTTTGGCCTTCGCACGGCATCATTGGTCCAAAACTGGATAGCAGAACTTAAATCAAATAAATTGGAATCTTTTTCATCGAAACTTACTCGAATTAAATTTTCTAAACGTTTCTCTTTCAGAGAGTTTCTTGTATCCGTTTTTACTCTATTCATTAGTGAAAAAAGGCGTTCAACTTTCGCATTAGAAACAGGCAAAGTAAATAATAGTTCGACAATAAGTAAAACCGGAACCCATTCATTTTTCATTGAGCTAGAAAAAATTTGATGCCATAACTTACGATAACCGGTATTATGTGGTGCTAAATATTTTACAGTGTAGTTTACCAAGCTATGCCAAGCATCCAAAACATCATTTACAGTTCCTGCAAAACCAGCATGTCGCAACGGCGCTCTATAAAAGTCAAAAAGATTTTCTATTCCTTCATCCAGGAATGTTTCATTTTCAATACTTTGAAGCCAACCTTCTGTATTTAAAACTTTTGTACCATACATATCAGTAATAGTATCGCTTGTTTCCAAACGCTCTATGATTGAATTTGTTACCAACTCGATATAAATAGATTTAGACTTTTTTACTAAATGTTTAGCATTTACAAAGTCGTTAAGTGCAACACCCTGGAAATAAAACTTTCCTTCTTTTTCAGTCACTTTGGCGAGAAAACGTTTTACTGTTGGCAAATTAATAAACTTTGTTTTTTGAATACGATTTAAATGGCTTTTAGCTTGTTGAACAAACCCTGATGAAGCCAACACATCTATCTCATCACTTTGAAAACATTTTGACAACATCTTTGCTGGTGCTAAAATCTCAATAAACAACGCGATATAAAGGGGCATTCTAGCATGAATCCACTTTTTGTGGTATCCTTTAAACTTAGCTTTTTCAGCATTGGTAAATGTTATATCTTCAGTCATATTTTCCAGATGTGTTAAATAAACACCGTATTTATCTAAAATCATTTCTAAAGCCTGAACTTTATGTGAAATCCATCGTGTACCTAAAAATGAAACAAGATTATACAATTTATAATTTACTTTATACTTGCAAAAACTAAAAATATAGGCGTCACGCATAACTGTAATGGTAATAAATATAAGATAAATAAATCAAGCAAAAAAAAGAAAATACCGGAGGCTTTCTTAGGTCGGTAACCACCAATGTTATATTCATCATCTTCTAAAATAGAAACGAGTTCACCCAACTGTCTTAACTTTTTGGGGGATTTTTTGTAAATGTAATGCATTTTTAAAATCATGTAATCAACGTCATTGAATGAGGCTGTTTTTCCTAATTTTTCTTTTAATGATAACTCGAGACGATGTGCTACACACCAGCCAAACGTGATCCAGGGGACTTCAGCCTTGAGCAACATTTTAACGCCCGACTTGCTCCCTCTGTTAACGGATGCGCCATCCGCACCAAATCCAACTAGTTTTTTATTGCAATTTACGACTTCTATATTCTCAAGTGACTTTTTTATGGTGTTGAAAACTCCGTGCGAAGTTCCATACTCAACATCCAAAAGTGAAAGAAAATCACATTCAACGTTTACTTCAGATTTTCCAGTTGGAGCCGGATTAAAAGTAACGGCAAATATAGCTTCTTTTTCCTTAATTGAAACGTCGTTAGAACCGTCAATTAAAATAGTGAAAAAATTTCGAGTATTTAGTTTATTTTTGAGATCTATCGCTAAACTAAGAGCAATGTAGTCAATAAATAACTCGCATGTGTTTTCGTTTTTATAAGCCTGACCAAAAACTACACCATGTTTCTCTTCTAATTGAATTATTTTTGGGTATAGGCAAAGCGATAGTTCTTCTTTTGCTATAAAGTAAGCGACCTCAAATTTTTTTTTTGTCAAATCCAAATCTTTACTATTCATGGTTTGAATACCGGATAAAATGTCTGTTTGCCGCATTTCCTGCTGCAACTCGTTTAGTTTTTCAATTCGATCGCACAAATTCATGCCTCTCGTTTTCATAAAAATCTCAAAAGCCTTCTGATGAGACATTCCCTCTGCATGCGTGATTGCAGAACTATGTTGCAATTGACTACATCCTTTTCCACAGCTCCATTCCGGAGTGTAGCCTTTTAAAATCTGAATTTGCGATGCATATTCTCGGCATACTTTGCATTTTAGCGCTGTAACTATTCCGTCAACGCTTTCAATTTCAAGCCAATCATTAGCATTATATTTTGCAAGCGTAGAGACTTTCCATTTATTAGCTGTTTGTAATTGTAGCTTTCTGTCATAAGTTTTTAGTTTTTTCTCAGCGGGTGTTCCAGATACTAAGTTTCTTTTAAAAGAAATAAATGTTTGACGCTTTTTGTATGCTTCTATTTTAAGATTATTTTTAAACTTACTATTTAATTTCTAAAACTTTAAAACAAAAACTGTTTCTTTCAATTTAAATTGTCACGATGATTTCAAAATGAAATTTTCCAACGAATCACAAACTTGCTTTGTTCATTATTTTTCAGACAATCAAAGAAATGTTAACCTTTCTAGTTATTAATTCATTTTATTCAAATGAATTCGCTTTATTAAAATAATTCTTTTACAGTTAATAAACTTTCGAACTGAAGACTGTTACGAAATCAACGCTATGTTTATTCCACCAATCAAAAGCATTATTAAGTTATTTACAATAAACTTCGCGCTTCTTTTTAATTACCATTTTTAATGTGAACTAAAAGATTATTATTGGTCTAAAAACTTGTTTAATTCAGCAATAATGAACATATTTTTTTTAATGCTAATTTAATAAATTTAAGATTCTTTTTTAAATGTTAAAAAATTTTTTATTCTAATGTGTGACATGCAATGTAGACGATCAAATTTGATTGGCCATAATTAATTTTGGGAGTTCAAAATTTCATTTTTTCCAAAAGTCGACGATCATTGATCGTTGATCGGCTGTTATTTCGAGCGCTGATAACTCAACCTAATTTGAAATTTCTTAAATCGTAGGTTATGACATTTTTTGTTTTCAACAGAAAATTTTTGACTTTTATAGTTACACCTAACTAAAACATGTACTACTAGTTTTCCAACCTAATAAATTGTTGACCTACTGTATTTTTGACCTACTAAATTTTTAACCTGCTAAATATTCGACCTATTTTCAATTTTATAACTGCGTCTTTCTAGTATGTATTTTGTATATTTTGTTGTTATTTGATCAGCCTTGTCGCAGTGGTTTAAGCTCTGTCTTCAGAATCGGGAGGTATAAGGTTCGATAAATCTTGGAAAACTTATTGATTTTTAATTTTTGTTTTAAAAAAATTTTCTAATTTAAAAACAACAACAACAAAAACACAGACTAGATAATCTGTTGAAAATTAATTTATCTCAAATCAGTTGAATATGAAAATCTA